TGAGTCTTCACAATGATTGATGATGCAATAACGCTGGGATGAATTCAGTGATAAAAATATTTTATACACTTTACTTCTTTATCCAATATCATGAGAATAAAAGGTGGTGGAAAGTGATATAATGATTTATGATTTCATTTCATGATTTTCAACGTTTCTTTCAGGCCTTAGAGAAGAACATGTGTGATTTTGCATTGAAGTGTGGAAAGTGAGGAAGATGAAAATAATAAACTAGTTCGGAAAACTTCGCAACACGTTGCAATTATCATCACGAATGCGTTGTGCTTCCATAAAGGCGTATATCCATTTGTAACAAATGGAATCAAACGTACCAACAAAATTACGTTACGGCTAGTGTAAAACAATTATTGTTACATCTTTATCCGTATCACTTTGACAAGGGTACCCATGTGTACTGAATCACCATTTGTTGATTTTTAACTGCATTGGATAATTTCTAATCACAAACGGCAATCAAATAATATATCGGGTATTTTTCTTGTTGCATACAGCGTCTTTCCGGACCTCGTTCGGTTCGAGAGGACAAAATTCAACGTTGGTTTGAAGGTGGAATGATTCGTGGTACATTTCATTAGTTCGGACTTTCAATGTATAATATGATATAAATTGATTTGAAATCCCTGAAAGAATCTGTAAAAAATGTAAAAAGATTACCTGAAGAATAACAATTATATCAAGGCAAACAAAAACTGAAATTACAATGAGATAAAATACAAGCACCAACCAAAAAAATAAAAATATAGAACTATTATATTAATACAAGATGAAAATTGAAAAATTATTAACAAGAAATGAAATATGAAAAATCAGAGGATTGTCGGAAAGGATAAGAAGGATTGGGTCCAATTATAACATCAGAACCTGTTTCAGATCTGGGAACACTATCCGAACGCTAACTGCGATTCTAAGAATTGCATTTACTGGATACCTTGCGAGTGCGGAGAATCATACATCGGTGAAACTAAGAGACCTTTGAAAGTTCGCATTGCCGAGCACAAGAAACATACACAGCGAGGAGAAACCAGCAAATCAGAAATAGCAGAGCATGTTTGGACTCATCAACATAACATCAAGTGGGCTAAAGCTGGGGCTAAACTCTGCTTCTGAATAAAAATACGTTAATCACAGAGTTGTATTCATTTGTGAAAATTGTTAGGATGATATTTTCTTCTATTGGTATTCAGTGGAGTGTTAAGTATTTTCAATGTATTTTTCAACTCTTTTTTTCCTGGTGGGTTTTTAGCATACAGCTTCAGTTCTCAACATTTAAAGATATCTCTTTCACTTTATCTTCTAGATCTTTCGTTTGCTCATCGTAAGTTTTCAGTGGTGGATAATACATATCTACATTAGGAAATTCAGTCTTCAAACTCATTCCAACGTTTGATAATTCTGGATGATTATTTGAGAGGAATAGATTCACCTTTTCGGTGGTAAATATACTCCACATGAAATGAAAAATCTGAAAGTTAAAATACGTTAAAATCCTGATCTCGCTAATTGAACTTTTTTAGTGGTTCAAACTATTGAAAGAAAAACATTATTGTGAGATTTCGTCATGGAATCAGTTTACAGAGTCGTATAATAGTTATTTTCTCTATGAAAAATTTGAATTTGACTTTTTGTTTTCTCTACATCAAATTAGGAATGACGAATAATCACTTTTCATGCCAGATCCTACAGTGGATTTAGTAAACTGCCTTGTACCGTGGACACCGACAAAAAGTGATTAATCTGTGGAGATCTTCCCCGACGGGTCGCCGTTGTTCCGGGGATTATCGCCAACACTGTAGACGCTCTGCTAGTTCCATTATGTCCGATTTGCACAGCTTCCTAATGCAGTATAACATTTCCGCATATACTAACCGCCGCTAGTTTGTCTTAGAATATAAATGAAATCTTTTGAGTGATGAGATTTTTTGTTTTCTTCTGGAAATGCATGGACGATACGTTTTTAGTTGAATGAATTGAGATGATACATTTTGAACAAAACGTCAATGAAAAATGAATCCAGGCTATTCATTATGTGGGAATATTATTATGCTCAAAACTATAAAAATTCACTGATGGCAAGATATTAGTGAAATGATTGTGATATCACTAAAACAAATGTAATATTTGCGATATCAAATCTTACAAATTCAGGACTGGATCTTACGAAATGTGAAAGTGCATGCGATATGCATAAATGAATCGCAAATTGAATGCAGTTCTACGAAAAAACTGTTTATTTTATTATAAGGTTGAAAAATGATTGAAATCAAATTGTACCTAGCAATTTCTAATTACAGTAAAAACAATTTCTAGATATTCTTCAAAATATGTATAATCTCTAGATCTATATGAACTCTTATGAAATGAGAAAGGAATATTTTTGAGGACAGATTGATTTTTGTGAAAATTTTTTGCCAAAAAAATTATCCTATCAAATTTGTCTATTTCTAGTCATGTGTGTCGAAATAACCAATGAAACCATCAATAAACTGATAACTACCCATGGATAGTTTTCACGGGTAGTTATCACTTATGTCATGACATTGCTAAGCAACCAACACAATAAAGTTGTTTGACATTTCAGTAATTCAATTTATTTCGAAAATGTCACTTCCTCGCTTAGGTGTTCAAAATGATGCGGCAATTGACAAAATCATTGAAGAAAATACACTAAAAAATACTGTCAATAGTAAAAAATACACTTGGAAAATATTTATGGAGTTATATCAATATACGAATTGTTCTTTTAATAACTGTGTGTTCAATAAATAATTTTGTTCGAATTGCAAAAAATTTTCTCAACGAATATCCCTCGAACATTGATAAATAACTCATAATTTTATCACAACTTCCTCAAGCACGTTATTTTAGGTAACATCCCTCCGCCTTCGGCGTCGGGATGTTACCAAATAAAGTGCTTTCGAAAAGTGTGATAAAATTATTTCGTTAGTTATCAATGTCCTTGGGATATTATAGCTGAAAATATCTTGGATTTCTATATCACAAAAATTGTTTAAACTTACGAAAGAAGAAGAAAATTTGTGTGGATCATACATACCTTTTTTTTGACATCATTTGATAGGAAGAGTCCATCCAAACAACTTTCGAAGATAATAACATCACACGAAAATCACTATTCCTTATTCAGTTTTCTACCTTGTAAGAAAATGTTGATGGATAACTACACTATTGTAGGTATATCGAGAAACGGTTCTTTTTTGAACCCACAATTCAAAATATGTTCATAGCGGAAGGCTGAATTGAGTATCTGCATTAGTACTATGATGCAAAAATTATGAAATATCCAATGATGTGAAAAAATGAACGTATTTCATTTCGAGTGGAAATTTTTCCTTCACTTTGGAACTCAAAATTGACTAATATATCACGTTTAAGCGATAAGAAATTCTCACTTAGTGGAAATAAAATACCTCACTTATTTATGTTGAAGTAATTTCAAATTCGCGTCCATTCTGTCTTGAAAGTGCAAATCCCAATGACCTTTTGAATTTTAAACGTACCCTCGAATGGAAATTTGAAAGATTCATCGCTAGTAGTTGTCTAAGGCTACTTGAGGACCTCCCCCCACCATTTGACCTTGTCCTTGAATGACGTCATATGACCTTCAGTTACGTGTCAGACGATATGACCTTGATCATGAGTGTCGACATTGAGATTTGAGTATATTCCTCAATATGTGACCTTGAAGTTTGGCTTTGAAAGATACCTCATGAACTTGCATTATGCACGTTCAATATGACCATGCGGTTCGACCTTGAGATTTTATCCTTGCTCAATACGTGATCTCGATGTTTGACCTTGTATGATGTCACATCATATGTCCTCGAGGCCATTGCCCTGGACTTATGCTTTGGCTTTGAGATATAACTGTCATAGGTGCCCACTGCCCTCTTTTCAAGGATGATTTTCTATATAAGCTAAGTGTATCATATATTCTCACTCAGTTTAGACTACCTAACGTAATTGAATAGTTAGTGAGTATTTGTTGAGTTGTGTTGACGACAGCAGCTAGTATTTACCAATCCAAGAAATGAACATCATCATCACAAAGGTGAACATAGTTTATATTTTTTAACCGTAATTTTACTATATTTATGAATGTGGATAATTTGAAATTTGACATTGAAAAAATCAATTCTGCTATAATTCAACAAAGTGAGCTTTAGAGCAGAAACCTATAACCGCCCAGCAAACACAATTATGTAAACTTTACATGAATGTTACATAACTGATTATATGTGTTATGTAACTATGTTATGTAATCAGATATTCACAAATTTCTTTACCACACCAACTCACTTCACACATATATATGCACATTTCGATAACTAAGTTATATCATCATCAGTAGGTGATCTACACACTTTGTATTATTAGGTTATACCTATACTAATGATGATATATATATATATTTATTGAAATGTGTATATGAATTGAAATTGGGTTTATTAGTGTGGAAAAGGGGTTATCTGTCAATTTTTGATTATATGGGGAAAATGTACCAGAGACAGACAATAAAATGCTTGATGGTTTTATTATTGTCTCTTTTCCTTAAGTTGGCACTTTTTTCTCTTTACACGATTGTACAGAAGAACAAAATTAAAAATTTTTGAAGACTTTCTGTTTCAAATATTATTCGATCAAGTATTCGTGATCTGTTTCTGCAGAATGAAAAGAAACTAAAAAATTTAAAAAAAATTATAGTTTGAGCATTCAAATATGTTTTCCCAAAAAACTAAAATTCTTAAACAAAATAGATAATATATCACAAAAAATATCAAATGAAAAACACCTGCTACTCTTTTGGAAATGGTGAGATCTATTATATAATCTTCAAAAGTTCACAAAATCTAAATTGTGTGCAATCAAATTGGTGGCACCCATTATTATAAAATCAACATATACTTCAAATACCCTCAACTGTATAAGTCTCATGGGAATTAACGGTAAATAAAATCCACAGAAACTTTGACAATTTTTATTTGGCATTGAAAAAAATTACAATTCTCTTTGTCATGTGTCAGTCAGCATTAAAATAAAACTGAAGTATTTGATTGCACAACCCACAATTTGTTGGGCATTAAAAAAAATCAGAATTTGTTCCCTTGTCTGTTTTTCATCATTCATTGGGTCTCAGCATCTTTTTTCTTATTCATCTCCCTATTGAGCCTTTGGCGGCTCAATCGGAACCACTCCCCTGCATATTTTTCAATGTCAGCGCATGATATTGAAAGATGACTGCTAATGATACTCTCTGAAAACATCAATAATAATGATTGGTTGGCAATGACAGTTGAGAATATTACCTGTTAATATTTTTATTGCATTCAAATCTTTGATTTTGTAGTTTCCTCGTTGTCCAAACCATGAACACTGAGTAGATAACTCATTTGTAAATAATTGGACGAGGCATCTATATAGATGATCTTCTCCATCTCTTCCACCCAAAGATTTGAAGAGATGAGCCTAAAATGTAAGGATATTTAGTTACATGACATGAAAGCCAATTATATGGGTTACTTTCATAGAAGGTCCACAGTATTTCAGAAAATGGTGACAAAAGTGTCAATTTTCCTAATAATATTTTTCAATATCTATAACTTCCCCTCCTAGAGGAATAAAATATCTGTTCACAGGTTCTGAATAAAACACAAGCGGAAAGATTTAATCATACTACAGTGTGTGCTATCCAAGTACTTGAATGAAAGAAAAAAGTGTACAGCGAATATAATGATGTAATAATAACAAAAATTACCAAGGAAGTTTCAACATTGTCATCCTGCTCTATCTGAAGTTCAAACTCCTGAATTTCATGAAGGGTTTTCATTGGAAGATTTTTCAATTTCTGGGAATTATTGTTTTTGGCTGATGTCCAAATTCATTAACCATGGAATATATAGTATTCAAGAATTTTTTGTTAGATAAACAAATTGTTCGCAGTTTAACTAAAACACACAATATCAGTTCATTTTTTTGCTCACCCACTACAAAAATGAGGTGTCTCAACTTTCGGTGACTCGCTGGGCTCAAAGTCATATCCTATTGATACATTTTCAGTAGGAAGTTCACTATTTGTTTTTAGTATTTTAGCGCTACTGGGACCTGGGGAACTTTCATTACTTAATAAAATTCGTCTCTGCTGTCTCTTAGAAAGGTTTGGGAAATCTCGTGGCATTTTGTCGTAACGAATAATTTACCTACGTGATTTCACAGTATTGTATTATGTCCAAAATATCACACACCAAATGAACAGAATAATAACACGAAAGGTAACAGGTCTTTATTTTGTTGAAACCACAGATTTTACACTTCAACACACGCTCACTGCTGCCAGCTAAATAAAAATAAAACACAGACAGTTTCAATTGTCATTATCATGCAGACACTGATTATAATCTGTGACACAAAGCTGAGAGCATATATAGACTACACAGACCACGAGAGTTCGCAGTTCTCGAGACATTCCCAAAACTCGTCAGATTCCACAGAACTTCACACAAACCAATATATAACTCGAAACTCAGAGAGACTCTCATCTGTTAAAAAGTCAAGTTCGTCTGGATATTACTATTACCAACCTGAAAACACAGCGAACATAATATTGAAGTAACAAATTTACGTAGGAGTTAAGTGAAACATAATATACCATATTGACGTTAATTTTTACGTATTAGCTAAAACATATTTACATAAACTATTTATGTGAATATGGGGTTAAAGTATCTTAGAAATTTAATGAAGCATTTACGTAAATATATTACATAAACATGTTCCGTTAATTTTATGTCATATTTACGTAAATGTAACAAGTGTGTTTGCTGGGAACCTAAGCTACCCTAACCTAACTTTTTTTTAAATTTTTTTTTTCTTTAGGGTGGAAACTGCTTAGGACTAGATCCTTGGCCTTTGTAGTCTATCAGACCTAGTACTGGCGGGCGCTACTCTGCCAAAAACCACCCCTGGCCCTAATCCCTTCTCCGGAACCATCCAAGTGGATATACTCAGAGTAGGGCGGCGACATATGCTATTGAAATTTATTCAGTCCTCTTTCTTACCTTTCCTCCCTCTGGTATTCCCTCTCTTCTAGTTCATTCTGCTTCATAACTTTATTGAAGAAATCGCATACCACTTTCCAGCCCTTTTTGTTGTTTAGCATTTCCTCTACTATATTGTCAATGGACACCATCATTCCAGTCTTCCGTTCCAGGAGGCTCCTTTCGCCGCTCCACCTTTCACACACTACTATGGTGTGCTCCACGTCATCTACTCTCCCACAGTAGATGCAAGAGTCGTCCTCGCTTTTGCCAATTCCTTTTGTGAAGCATCTAAAAGAGCCATGTCCCGTGAGAAACTGCGTGGTAAAATAGTTCAACTGCCTATGCCTCCGCTGACACCGTTCTGTACGCGACGATAATTCTAATAATCATCTTTCTTTGCGTCGAGTTAACCATTTTCGCATATTTAGCAACCCTCATTGCCTCCTTCCAGACCGGTGCCGCATATAGCAACACTGATTGGACCACGCCGTATAGCAGCCTCCTCTTACCGGTGGTGGGCCCCCTTGTGTTGGGTAGTATCCTGGACATAGCTGCTACCTGTCTGTTCGCCTTCTCGCAAGTCTTGCGGATATGCTCATTAAAAATCCGTTTGTCATCCAGCCATACTCCCAGGTATTTAACAAACTTCTTGGGCTCGATCCTTGTCCCCCGTATTTCAAAATGGATGCTTTCCCTTTTCCTCGAACCTTTTACTATTATGGCCTCTGTTTTTTGTGGCGCCATTTCAAGACCATTTATACTCATCCAGTCATTCAGAATTGCAAGTGCCGTATCAGCCTTTTGCATGAGTAGATCTGTTTTCTCTGCTCTCACCACAAGTGCCAGGTCATCAGCGAACGCTGCTGTCGAGCATCCTTCTGGCAGTTCTTGCCTCAACACTCCATCGTATATGACGTTCCACAGAGTTGGTCCCAATATAGATCCCTGTGGGACTCCCTGTGACATCTCCTGCTGGTGTCTGCCACACACCAGCCTTCTTTCCGATAGATACTCTGACATAATGTTCAATATGTAATCACTGATGCCCATTTCTTGTAGCCTAAGCAGAATTGTACCCCATCTAGCAGTATTAAAAGCATTTTTTATGTCAATCAGGATGATGGTTCTCCAGACGGCTCCTCTCTCGCTTGCTCTTTTTAATACATATTTGACGGCCTGTAGATCGTACTTCTTTCGGCCCTAAAACCGAATTGGGTATCCGATATTCCGCTTCTTTCATTGATCTCCTCCTGCAACCTTGCCTTAAGTAATTGTTCGTACAATTTTGCCAAGATGTCTATTAGGTTTATCGGCCTGACTTTGACATCTGTCTGGCGTTTCTCATCGGCCTAAGTTCGCTCAACTTGCAATCGCTAGTCCATCGTCCCGTGGCCCTTTGGATCGCCTCCTGAACTTCTTCCTTCGTGACGTCAGCCACCATGCGTCTTAGATGGAAGGTATCTAGCGCCCCTCTTCTTCCTTAGGTTCTTGTTTTGAGGGCTCCTTTATTATCCAGCGCCTTTTTCAACTCCATCAGAGTCCTTTTCCGTTGTGAGGAGGAGATTTCCCTTTTTGGTGTTCCTTTTACCTCTAATGGCCTTTGCAGCTACCGTGTTTTTGACGACGCTTTTGACCGTGCCCAGAATTTCCCTGTAGGATTTTCCCCCCTCACTGACAATTACCCCGAAGCTCTTGTCTTTTGCCCCCAGCTTATTTTGGGTCGTAGTAAACATTTCCAGGGCAGTGTCCCCCGTGTGAAACACTGCCTCTACCATCTTCCTGGGTTCTTTTATAGGGATGGCCTTAAGATGGTGTAGACTCACCCTTTTGTCCTCTTTAGTCACCTCCTTCAGTTCCTTCAGTTTCCCCCAGAGGTCCGGTGCCGTTCCATCGTATCTAATTTTAGTGACCTTTCGGGATGAGATACTTCCCGCGCCCCTAATTCTGGTCATCTGCTCCAGGGTCTCAATGTCTTCCTCGAGTCTAGGCAACTCTGGGAACTTGTCTCTGAACAACCTCTGGATACTCGAGGCCATTTCCAGTTCCTCTAGGGAGACAAGCCACTGACAATTACCCCGAAGCTCTTGTCTTTTGCCCCCAGCTTATTTTGGGTCGTAGTAAACATTTCCAGGGCAGTGTCCCCCGTGTGAAACACTGCCTCTACCATCTTCCTGGGTTCTTTTATAGGGATGGCCTTAAGATGGTGTAGACTCACCCTTTTGTCTTCTTTAGTCACCTCCTTCAGTTCCTTCAGTTTCCCCCAGAAGTCCGGTGCCGTTCCATCGTATCTAATTTTAGTGACCTTTCGGGATGAGATACTTTCCGCGCCCCTAATTCTGGTCATCTGCTCCAGGGTCTCAATGTCTTCCTCGAGTCTAGGCAACTCTGGGAACTTGTCTCTGAACAACCTCTGGATACTCGAGGCCATTTCCAGTTCCTCTAGGGAGACAAGCCTAGACGCCGAGCACGCGCACACGCATGTGCATTTCCTGCTCATTTGGCTTTCTTCGTCTGCGTCAGGCAGTTTGGTGCTTGGTCTAATTTTATTCTCCTCTTTTTCTTTCTTCTTCATTCATCTTTTTCATAATTCTCCTTACCCTATTGTATATTATTTCATATCCTTTCATCTTCAATCATGAAGTTTGTTATGTTTCTGGCTGTATTTTTCTTCTCCTACTTCCTTTTCCATCCTGTTCCTTTCGTTTTCATCCTTTGGGCATTCGAATACCACATGGTTTTGTGTATGCCTCCTTCCGCACTCCTCGTATCTATCATCCTCCCTTTTTACGATCATCTCAGTGTATTTCTTGAACGCTCCATGACCGGTAAGAAACTAACTTAAGTAGTCCGTTTTCTTGTGTTTAGTTTCCGCTCACGGCTCCACCTGAGGAATCAATACTTTTGTATTGATCCCATGATCTTCCCATTCTTTCTGCCACCTCTTCATTGTTCTTTCCCTAGCTGCCTCTCTTACTCCTTTCCTATTCCCGTAAGAGTTTGCATATATGTATGCACTTTCTTCCGCCAGTAGGTGTATTGGGGGAATTTCCGATATTACTTGAAACTCTGCTACTGACTCGGTTCTATATACACTTGTTACCCGTATTGATACCTTCCTTTGGACGCTGGTCATTTTTGCTTTTTATCTTTCGATTTTCAGTGCCCCGTATCACACTGGGGCTCCGTATAATAGGATAGACTGTACCACTCGATGAAAGCATTCTTCTTTTATTACTCCTCTTTTCGGCTTCCTTGACAGTTTCCGTTATATGTATTCCGAACGTGCCTTGGTGATCCATATGTATTCCGAGGTACTTCAGGCTTCTGCAAAGTCTCATTATATCCTCTTCCACTATATCCTTTCTTGTTTAGTTCCCTTCAGTATAACATACTCGGTTTTATGGCTTGCAATTTTCAGTTCGCGATCTTTCATCCACTTTTCCGTGGCGTTGGCTTTTTACTCCATTCCTTCTCTCGTGTCCGTTTGTACTAGGATAACTAGGTCATCCGTGTATGCCATTGTCCTTGCTCCTTGGTCTAGAAGCAGAGAGAGGACTCCATCATATAATACGTTCCCAGTATCGAGCCTAGCAGATATCCCTGTGGCTATAAGATATCCCTGTGCCTATAAAAAAAATCGTTAAGAAATAATACGATACTTATCTTAACCTTTCGGAGGCCAAAATCTGCCTCCGTCTTCAGAAATGGACAAAAAAATTCTAATATATTGGCAGTTATTCCTTTTTGATTATTTATTTCTTTACTTCTTTGACACCTGTCGAATTAAAAAACAATAACCAATAACCAAATCTCAAAAAAAACTCAATATTTGTGCCTTCGCCGTAAATTACTATAATATATGAGACAGGGTTGCCAC